TTGCAACCATGAGTTCAGCCTTTGGGGCAAAATAAACGCGAAGAAATCACGAATAGGCTGAATGAAAAGGTATCTTGGGGCGGTATGCATCAATCCCGTTTTAGAAGCGGGCAATCATTTTCTATTGAAAATGGTCGCCCCCTTCTAAAATGGGAGATCGATGCCACCGCCCCTGACTTAACAAGCGCTTGTTACTATGCTCAGTATCATTGGAAAATCCAGAAAAATCGGACTGTCCATTAGGATATAAGTTGTTTCATTACTTGCTCTTCGTTCATGGTATAGTTACCGTAGTTCAGCTGCACAGTATCCCGAAAATCCACTATGTCGACTGCACTTTCTGTACACGGTTCAATCCAGCTGTACAGTATCCCGAAGATCCCCTATGTCGGCTGCACTTTCTGTATCTGCCAGGCCAAAACTACACTGATTCCACTACCAGCTTGCAAGTTGCAGATTGAAAACATGCGGTTCAGAGCCTGGCACGCTTTGGTTAGGAGCATTTTTGGAAACGCAATCCCCCTTGACTTCGCGAAAATTTACGAAATCCCTTTTGACGTAAAAGTCAGTAGGAACCCTTATTCAATCAATGTAACAATAAGAAGCGAAAAAAGAGCATTTTGAGGCACCCAACGCAGCAAAAAATCATACCGAATTGATTAAAGGCTCCATCATTGCGGTACCATGTTAGGTGTTTGCAATGTTGAAAGCCTCTTAGGCCAATTAAATCTGTCCCTCAACAATCTGGTGATACATTTCTCGCCACCTAGTTCAAAAGGCACCGCATGTGCTTGGAGGGCGATATCTATAAATACGTATACACTATAAAGAGGAGAGGCAATGGTTTGATTCGCTCTCTTCGCTATATGATAGAATCTAGAACGTTCTAATTGTCCACATCAAAAAAGTCCAAAACTTATGTGAACTCTCCGATATTTATGCTCCGAACCAACCCAGTTGGTTTGGTGTTGGTCTAAAAACCAACAAATTCGGGAACGGGTATTGGGACACATAAGTTTTTAGAACTTTTTACATAATGTGGATTGGAGTAATATATTGTATATACATAGCCTAAATTCAGCGTCATGTGATTGTTTGTGCGCTGTGAACAAGTCATCTTTATTTGGGTCCTACGTTTGAAATTCGCGCGCTTGCCATATAACACGTTCAAATCGTAAAACCTGACATGTCTGTCGTTATAAAAACGATATCCCCGTTGCTTCTGACCTCAAAAACGAAGTCCTGTTCGAACCCAGACCATCTGTACCGGGCCCTGATGCAGTTAACTGATGGATACTGCTTATTTATACAATTCATGGGAAATACTTTGATTTCAAAGCTTTTTGTTCAAATAACGGGAACAGTTTGCAATTAGTTTTATTCTTTTGAGCTTCTAACAACTCTTATGGTTTTTACAGAAGCGAAAAATCATGACTAATTACCTTGATTACCTCGATCTCATAACTCATCCACTGCTTTTTCTACATGCTGCGATGTATAGTATGCACTCTTTACTACATGTGATTTGGTGGCAATAGCTTTGCAGACAATAACTCGAAGTCTCGTCCAGTGATGTTCAAATAAATCTAACTATCAGTTCTTCGAACAAACTAAAAACTGCAGTCTCCGAGCGAGATTCTCGAACTCTGGGCTAGATTTTACGTGTAATATGGCATACTCTAACACAACCTAACCAGATTTCACCTGCATGCTTTGGAGAAAAAAGAGCACAACTTTATTCTCAATCAAGAGTCATAAAAATTTGATACTGCGCACACAGGTTGCACTGCATTAGGGAATGGCAGTCACATTCACAGAAGAGTGTGCCCATGAGTAATGCACATCAGAAAAACATATTAGGTTGGTGCAAAAATAATGGCCGTTTTTTCAAGCCTTTTTTCACGACAACTTTTTTCTGTCAGAATATCTTTTTTGAAATATACCTAGCATACCACTGAGAAGCTGTTCTCATGCTCTATCTAAGGGTGGTTGAAGCGGGCTTCCATCCTCATCTGTTATAAAGTTACTGAGCTTCAAGTAATCGCATACAAATTCAAAGTTTAATTAAATTCACTGTTCTGGCCAGAATTCGAACGCGTATGAAAGGCGCTACTTCGGAAATTTAACTATTGTATGTAATAAAAGTTGTCTACATTATGCATACTTGACTTTATTTTCTGAAGTTATCCAGGCTGAGATATCGGTGCCTCAACATGGGTAGCCGTTGCGGTTATTTATGATCCATAAACTTCTTTTGAAGATTCTGTAAGCGTAATTTGGTGCATCCTACTAGCAGTTTTTTCAAAAACATCCAGCTGTTTAGTAAGCAGAAAATCGGAAAATTCTAAAGGCTACTGCATGACGAAGACGCAGAAGCAATATCAGTTGAGCTGTCGCGAAGGCGCGCGCGTATCTATACCGTTGTAAATCCTGCGCCTCATGCGCTCTGCAGCTAACAAAGCCTCGCTTGCGCCCAAAGTTGTTGCGCCTTCGTCATGCAGCAGCCTATATATTCGAGGTTTTGAGGCATACTGGAAAAAATATTGAAAAAAGTGAAAGTTTTGACTTGTAATTTTTTTCCTTTTCGCAGACTTTTTCCTCCAAACCCTTTTCGTGGTATTTTGTATTATACTACTGGCTTGCGGCTACAAGATAGGACACTCATCATTCATAATAACAAACTTTAAAGGAAGTTATGAAATGTCACATGTAAAAAGTAACCTTTTATATTTTTTAATCCGTATTTTCGCCCGTTTATGATATGGTATGAATGATGCGCTGTGTTGAGAAAGGTTTGCTGCTTCTGATGGTCTTTATTCAAAATGTGGATTTTTCAGAAAGTTATAGCACGTCAAAATGAGAACTAGCAAAGCGGCCATTATTTTTGCCCCAACCTAATATTAATCAGTTAATGCATGCAGTATCGAATTCAATGTGCATAGTCAAAATCCGACAATTTTCAAGATAGCAGGAGTGGAAAAAGATTACTAAGAACACATGCGCTCCACGTTTGCTGCCCCGCTCATTTGAGGAGAGCCTGAGTAAAACCTTTGCGTTAAATGATAAAGTATGAGAGAGAGTTTTTTGAATAAAGGTACTACCACGAATGGCGACACAGCCTGGCCCTTACAAAGAGCATCCCTTTTCTGAATTCACGCGAATTTCATTTAATTCCCAATCCGCACTGTAAAACGAATAAACCCAATTGGTTTTGACTCAGATACACTAGGGAAAAAGAATAGGATTGATTTCCAGGATCGGCATGTGCAGATTTCGGCAATCATCAATCACTTCAAGCATTTTACTGAGCTAACAACAGAATGCAATTTCCCCTGGGCAATGCTACGTTCACCTGTGAGCCGATAAAAGAGTTGCTCCCTCCAAAGATCAAAACACTGAGCCTATAACTAATGCCATTCTGGAGCCAAGCTTTCTCGAGGATATTTCGTTAGTTTTGTCACTTCTTCAACATACGCCCACCTGAAGGACAGATGACTTATTCAGAGCTTTTCAGTGTGCAACTGCTTTGAGACTTTTTACTTACTAAATTGCCTCGGTATAAAATTACGCAAAGCATAAGTTTTTCAAAAAACCATTAAATATGCATATGAATGACATATTGCTCACGGATTGACTCCGTTCAGCTCCAATTCCTTGTAAATGTGCTAGCAGTTCGGCCAGAGCTACTAAGCATAAATTTTGATTTTCCAGTTTCCTCCCGCCATCCCTCCTTCCGCCCCCCCCCCCCTCCCACGTGTTGTGATGAATATAGGGATTCATTTTAGATGATTACTAGGACTCGTCTCTGGCTTGGCATTTTCATAAATCTAGAAATTTCAACAATGTTGCTGCTAAATATGCTCGTCCTTACATGCATTATAAAAGGTACGCGATCCTGCAATTTTTTATTCAGTACTAAAAATCTAGCTACAAGTAATAGTCGATCTGGATTAGGTGAAATTGCCTATGACTATGCCATCACAAAACCACAGATAGATTATGAGTGATACCGAAATTTTGTACGTGTGCCCCTGATCAATAAGTTGTGAAGTTGTTGTTGATTTAGGTCGCCTTTATGCTAGAAAGAATGACACCATCTATGTCTTCGCTATATTCAATATAATTCTTGATTCCTGTTTGTTAGCTATACATCTGGGTTACATGGGTCCAGGGATTCTCTTGAAGGCATAAAGATCTTTTTTTTTGTCCTAACGAAGACACTCAAATGCTTAATATTTGCAGAGTTTTCTGTTTGATGGTCCAAGATCTTTGGGAGTCACTGTAGTGTCTGTCATATTTCTTGGTCTGTGGTACCAGAGTTCTCTGATACAAATTTTATTTGCGACCAACAGGCCAGTTCATTCAATTATATACGGATTTCCCTAGCTGCAACATTCAGATCTACGTAGTAATTTTGTGTCTTATATGCCGGGCCCAGGTTTATAGGGTGGTATCTTTACTCGACCTTACGTTTCGACACAGTCGTCGTCTTCGGAGGTCTGAAGTAGATTGCAGTTTGAATCTGGAAGACAACACCGCCAAACGCCATCACCAAACATCAGCGAGCCTAGACCTCGCCTCGCGCGCAACGTACTGAGAGGAGACAAAATTCACGAGTCCAAAAATGGGATCTTGCTACGAACCCCTCATTGGCCCGTATGTATCAGACCGCACTCAACCATACCATATATACAACTTTGCTATGATTTTTTCAGAGCTAGGGATCAAGAATGAAAATGAAAAACGAAAAATGGCAAACTCCTGCCCAGAGACCTGGGTTACTTCGATGCAATTGTTTCCCGAAAACCTTCAAACTTTTCATAGATTTGACATTCTACATGCCCTAGTTTCTGAGTACCTTTTTCTCCAAAAAAACGACATTTTTTCTTTCTAACCCAGTAGTAGCAAATCTTGCACTTTTCCGTTTGCTCTACTCACATTTCAGGCTTCTTGTCATTTGTTTTCCGTTAAGTTTTGAGTTGACCAAAAGACGAAGTTTAATGCTTATCGCTATCGCTTGCCTGCTCGCTATGGTACTGGTGACGTTTTCACATTTTCTTTCACCATGTTGCAGGTGAGCAGCATAGAAAATGTGCACTCATACATAATGCGATTCTACGGTACTTGCATTTTTTTGTCCCTTTCGTTACCGCAGAATAATCCAGAATTATTGCGAATCCACTCATCTACTCTTACGAATATCTCAAAACTTCGTCAAACACTAGCAATCTTTCCATGCTTATCGTTGGCATACCACTTAACATCGGTACCTCGTTCTACTGCATAATATCGTACAGTGTGGTGCGTTGGGTTTTGTTTTTGAAATATCAAACAAATTCTTCATGATTCCAGCTATTCATCTACATACACAGAACGAGTGCTTCGGAAAATGTTCAGACATGTAAGCGACGAGAAATGAGGTAAGTGTGCAGGCTTCCTAGATCAGCAACTTGGTATAGGCTGCTGCATGACGCAATATTTTTGGGCGCGAACGCGGCTTTATTAGCCGCAGAGCGCATGAGGCGCAGGATTTACAACGGTGAGGATACGGGCGCGCCGCGTTCGCTCCCGCTCAACTGAAACTGCTTCTGCGCCTTCGTCATGCAGTAGCCTTCAAATTTTTCGCATAATATACAGGGTGGCTGAAAGGTATTGGCGCGTTTTGTGCCGTTAATTTTTCGCGGTCAAATGGAGTCACTTTTGCCTGTCTTAACGTGATCGAAGTAGTGGCATCTTTCAGCTCTCCTTTGATGCAAATTCATTTGCTTTGGTGTACTCATGAGGCCCTGTGAAAACCGTGTATCAATCGCTCGCCTAGCAGCCGACGGACAGAGAGCTTCGGTTATCTCGGCTCCCTTGAAAGTCCCTCTCCGAACGGTGCTCAGGATCATCAAGCAGTGGAAGTCAGTGGGACATGTCAATGTGAAGAAACCAACGGGCCGTCTCCGCTCTGTCAACACTCGTAGAATGCGAGCATCATCATGAAACGAATCGTCCGAAAGACGGAGTCAGTATGAATTCTATTGCAAAAAGCCTGTCTATATCTTGTCAGACAGTTCAAAGTATAGTCAGAAACTCTTTGGGTCTTCGCAGCTATCGTCTGTTCAAAGGGCAATATTTATCAGGTGACGCCAAGCTTAAGAGGCTAAGAATTTGCAAGGAAATGCTACACACTTTTGACGCGTGCCGCACAGAAGACGTGATGTTTTCGGACGAAGAAATTTTTGCTATCGAAACATCCCACAACAGTCAAAATGCACGGCAACTGCTCAGCCCAAGTCTGAAGAATACCAGAAAACGGAAAATTGTTACCCGAACGCTTTTTCCAAAGGGAGTGATGGTTTGGGCAAGGGTAAGCGCCACTGTGAAGACGCCTTTGATTTTTATCAACCGGAATGTGAAGATAAACGCAAACCTATCAGAAAGAAGTGCTGGCAAAAGCTGTGGTCCCATGGAGGCGAAAAAACGCAAATGGGATGTTCCAGCAGGATTGGGCACCTGCGCACGCAGCAAAGAGCACTACTGCTTTCCTAGATGCTAATGTGCCAGGATATCTGACGAAGGATCAGTGGCCTTCCAACAGTCCCGATCTCAATCCACTTGACTTCGCTGATTGGGGTTACTTAGAGAAGTTGAGAAGCAAGAAAATCAACACTGTGAATGGCCTTTGCAGAGAACTTACAAAAGCATGGAACGATAAAGACCAACAGTACCTGCGGCGCGCCGTCACTTCAGTCATACCCCGAATGAAGGCATGCGTAAGAGCCAAGGGTGGACATTTCAAGCAGTTTTTATAAATTATGTGGGTTACTGTGTTTTCTACGTTTATCATAAAAAATTAGTGCCAAAAAGTCTTTTTGAAAGAAAATATGAAGTTTTTGAGCGCGTCAATACTTTTCAGCCACCCTGTAGATATGCGGTGCAAATTGTGCGCTAAAATCTGCGCCTGAACGAGAAGCCAAGCCAGAATACTTGCAATTTGCGCGCGCAAGTGACCGACATTACACACGTTAAGGTTACTGCATGACGAAGGCGCACAAGCACAATTAGTCAAGCGGGAACGAACGCGGCGCGCGCGTATCTTCACCGTTGTAAATCCTGCGCCTCATGCGCTCTGCGGCTAATAAAGCCGCGTTCGCGCCCAAAGATATTGCTCCTTAGTCATGCAGCAGCCTATAGCTATTCGTTCACGCGCAAGTTTTGATCTCGGCACCGCACGCACACGATATCAGACGGAAATCTACTAACATAGGCTCCAGTGTTGACACTAGAATGTTTCTGTGCGATGCTCATAAGGAGAGCTTGTTTAGTCGAAGTGGCCTTTCCAAACGAGATGTACATCATATTGAAGGGCATAAAACGTTGATTGCAAATCTGCCTTCCTTATCTATACAACGTTTATGGACGAGCAGTCATGAGCGTTTGTTAGAGCCAAAAATTGAATGTGCACCTTGGATAAGATGAACTGCTAAAACCTTAATAGCCCTCAAACTATGCAAATAAGTGTGACATTTCTTATTTTAGAGTATTTTTTCTCTTTGAATAAAATGCTCTGATGATCGTCACTGCTCCATTGAAAAGCTAGAAAAAGTGTTGCGGCTATTTTTGTCCTACTTGCACATTCGTCTTTTGCTCCAATAAGCGCTCTTAACGCCTCGTCATAATTATTCTGCAGATAAGGAAAGAAGATTTGAAACTAGCATTTTTTGCCCTTCAGCATGATATACATCCCATCTAAAAAGGCCACCTCGACTAAACATGCTTCCGTTGTCAGATGCTGCATTCAATTTCTACTGATGTTTCTTACATACACTTTCGTATGGCTAACATTCTTCCTACGCCCAGCATTGGATATCCCGTACGAAGAGATATATTCCTTTACGCTAATATCGCTGGTGGCGAATTGCGGAGTCAACTCTATTATTTATCTGACCATGAACACAGAGGTAGGCTCACTTGCCATGTTCCCTACTACCATTATCGGATAAAGGAGCAACGAGCGGTATAAGCTTCTCTCGGAAGGAAGAAACAAAAATTCCTGCAAGTGAAGAAGTATTATTTCGAAATTTCCCATTCTTGACCCTAAAAGTTGATATCGTAAAAGAAAAGTAGTGTCAGCGTCATGAAAAATAAGTTGATATTGTTAGACAGGTTTTTAGGAAGTTTTTATCGTTTACACATAAAAATAAGCTGCTAGCACGATTCTGTGAACAAATTGTACTCAGGTACGCGGCGCAGCAAACAAGATACTCGGCAAGGAAATTTTCAGCACGCGAGTAACATCTAAAGCTATTCACTTTACTCATCATCAATCCTGAATTATTTTCGATGAAATTCCCTTACAGATTATTTGTTCAGATACATTTGTTCAATGAATTTTTTCTTTTTTACCAGTCATTTACTGGAATAGTCTCACACTTTGGGCATATCCCAAGGGTTTCAGAAAGCGTTGAAAGTGAAAGCTTGTTGGAGCATCTGATCCTTGAATGATTTAGAACAAGACCTGAAGACGGATTGATGAGGAATAAGAGCTATGCTCTTGCTAGATTATCATCAAGTTTTTACAGATAAATACAAGGAGCGATTTTACCGAGAAAATTTTTTATCACAGTCAGAAACTTGAAAAAGGCTCGCTAAGTGTATATCAACATGTAATCAGATGTTTCGTAGTACACAATTAGACCGATATCAGAGAGAGAAGCATTAACCGGCAGTCCATTATTAATCACGATCAACCTTAAGTTATCAAAAAAAGAGAAAACTTCGCAAAAATAGAGCTTGAGACCGATAGCTTTTAGACTTGCACACCATGAAATCGTTTCATCATGAAATTCAAAGATGCTATCCGTCATGCAATAAATTATTGTGAATTAGAGTAAATATGCATGCATGAATAAGCAGTTGAAAACAAAATATACACTACTGTGAGATCTACGTCTACAACAACATATTTTGTGTAGAGATTACAAATTAATAAGCTGCATTATAAGAGATACACTTCTTTACAATAATTTAGCGTGAAAAATTACGAATTTCCTCCACACTTCATATTTTATTGTCGTTCAACAGTGGAGCTTGGAAACATATTTTTTTGAAAAGTTTATTGTCACATTAAACTTTCACAGCCTAGTGTACAGTGAGTCGTTATGAGTATCACACTCACATCTGCCATGCTTTCCTACACATTTGGTGCAGTGATTCGTAGCCTGTTGAAAGCAATACGGACTCATTCACAGACAACATAAAGGATAGAATGAATATGATGCAGAAAAAGTATTCAGAATACTGCAGCATTTTTTGCACCGTGAATGATAATGATGGCGGTGAGAATGTACTGAACGAAATGAAGCGGTATCAGCTCCCAATTCCTGTTCTTTCTCCTCTTTCACTTGTCTTTTTCTTCCTCCTCATCGCTCCATGGGGGCGAAACAATTTCTTCATCGCCGGTTGGACGACAGTACAACTTTCCGTACGAATTGTTATCGATAGCAACAAGAAATGGTCAGGTGAGGTGACCACAGAGCGATCATATTCCCAGTCAACGACTAGAGGTCACCAATGTCAAAGTTGAGCTTCTTCAGCTTTCTGAGAAATTTCTCATATAGTTCCTCCTTATTTCTGTAGGTCACAGTAATTCTGGGCATATTATCGCGGAATAATCTGACAGCAATAGTCTTCTCCTCCTCAGTCATGATGAAATATCAGGTTGATCATGAATACCAAACGTACAGTCTTCGTTTATGGCCTCGGACAGAGTTCACGCGATTTGATGGTCGCGATATAATAGCTACAGACAAGTGTTACGAGTTCATTGCATGCTGAATTTCTTGTATTTCGGATGTGATAATTAGTCATGATTAGTTGTGTTGGAAAACTGTCACAACCAAATTGCAAGAGGATCGGCATGCAAGGATATTGTTACATTTGCCTTGTCGCGATCAATCGCGACGATTAAATCGCGTGAACTCTGCCGGCCTATAAAGGTTTGTGCATGCACAATATTGGAAAAATTTGCACAACTGTCTAAAGTGATTCAGCGAAGGTGCAGAGACGATTTTCTGGTCTGACCATCGATGCAGGGTTTGAAGCAACGAGGCATTAAAATGTAAAAATGAAGGGAGAAAGAAAACAGGCATACATAATAGCAAAGCTGCTCCACCTTCTGTTTAAATTGAAAAATTTGGTTTGATTCTATGTTTGAATTGTAGAACATATAAAATGCAGACCATTCTTCCAATCGTGAGTGCTGATTTCAAAGCAATGATTTTGTGCCCTTCTTCTGGGAAATCTCAAAATGTGCACAAAAAGAGTTTGGTGCATCCTAGAAGTTGCGCCTGTCAGCAGAAAAATACATATGAATATGAGGAAGCCTGAGGTAAATTCGACTTTAGTTTTACAGTGAGTATAAAATAAGGATCATTGTAAAGGCTAAAGTCGTGCACTGTAAAAGCACAAACACAATTGTTATCTAAATAGATCTGAAAACTATTCCAACAGATATCTCTAACAATACTTTTTGGAACATTTTGCAATGAAAACTTTCGATGTCATGCTAACAGTAAAAAACAACAATAGATAACCCTGTCAGTGTTTTTCAGTATTCATGAGTCACATCTCATGTTGAGCAGAATTAGCGGTTCTCCTTGTCCTGCACAGGAAACCTAGACTTTTCGTTAGGATTGGCTCACACACTATCAGATACAACCTATATGTTGCAATGATTGATATCAGAAAACAATTAGAATCTTATGAATACACCTGTTTCACGAAATTTCGCCAATGCTATTCACAGACGATCATTTCATTTCATTTCATTTCATTTGTACGCTCAAGGCGTTCCATAGAAAAAAGACACATCAAGAAGTTAGTAATACAGCGGAAACGAACAAGACATGTAAACAAATGCAGACATCATCAAGTCAGTCCGAGTCTGATCCTAATTAGACTAATGTGAGAAGATAAAACAGCTTGCACTGAATATGTTGGTAAGCTAATAGATAAGTATGCAGATGTAGGCATGAGATTTATAACTCCAAAACTTTGAATCTATGGAGATGGGACGCATGCCCCCTCGTTGCCAGCGGAACGATCTTTAGTTACTCTTAAAAGCAATCCGGCGGCTTATAAGGCAGGTCTACTGGCTCAGGTATAATAACCATAACCCAACCTAGCCGGAATGCTGGGGAGGCCCAATGACCCCAAAGGTGAAACGATCAGATTACAAAATGCGCAAATTCCTGCAACCTTCAAAGCTCTTCGCAAGTCTTCCTTCTCGGAAAGGAAAAGTGGAACATGAGTATGTGTTAGATTCACGGATGGACAACACTGAGGGAAAAAAATGGTGTTACTTGGTATCGAGCGTAACCCCTAACAAGGCAGTGGCTCGGCGACACCAAACATCTTGGAATTTTGCTATGAAAGGTTGCGTACCCCATAAGTACAGAGCAGATCCGAGCGCAGCATGTTGCCCTGTCCTCAAAAAACTGCCCCTAAACTCGTGCGCGCAAGCCCTTAGACAGTCGATGGGGTGGAGCAACGAACACCTCAATTAGGCACCGTCTCCGCGGACCACTGGTCCCAACACGATGCACAACAGCAGGACGAAAGGACCAGCTGCCCGCGGAGGCGATGCCTAATTGAGGCGTTCGTTCCTCTACCCCAGTCGATAAGACACCTCCGGAGCAGAAGTGGTAGGGTCGCGGGCTTTCCCCAGCGGAGGATTGCCACTTCGCGCTCCGGAGTCCTGCCATTCCATTTTTTTGTGCTCCGGGGCAAAAGTGGCGCACCTCCGGAGCAGAGATTTGCGCGTCGCGGAGAGGGATCCATTCGTCCTGTTTGTGACGTCACCGTGACATCACAGTGAATGAATGGGACTCCTCGACGCGCATATCTGTGCTCCGGAGGTGCGCCACTTTTGGGAGAGCCCCGGAGCACAAAAATGCGTGAAATGGCAGGACTCCGGAGCGCGAAGTGGCAGACTCGCGCCATATGCCCGCCGGAGGTATCCCTTCGACTGTCTGAGCCATTCTTACACGCGCTCGGACGAACTTGCAATTTCCCTCCCACCGTCAAAGGTGGAAGGGGAATTGCAAGCCCGCAATGCTATAACCGTGAAGGACCCGCAGCGACTCTGAGTCTCCATCCATGGCGAGAACTGTTCCACTCGTTCAAATTCAAAATGAGGAGCCTTGGAAGATGCTGTTTTTCGACATTTTTGCTCTCTTCAAAGTGAATTTGCGAGATCAGCGCGTCGAATTACCTCAGGCAAACAGAAAAAACCTTAGGTCGAAGATTTATTGAGCCACTGCCTGTGAAAGTAGAGGATTGCAAGCACGGGAAGCGTGGAACAAATAAATTATACGGCGGAAAAGCTGGGGAGGTGGATAAAATAGCTTCACAAGCCCACGATTGTTATTTTCAACAGTTTTCCAAGCGGTTCATCAGGGGTTCTAACCAATGTGCGATAGCTAGGACGATTGACGTTCTAGTCAGTCGAGAAGGTAGTGTCAGTGCCGAGATTAAGATCGTGAAGCTTTTTCTGGAAAGCTTTGCAGAGATCCTCCCTGTCTTTGTAGGCGATTGTAAAGCAAGGCATTTTGAAGAAGTATTTAAAGGTAGCTATATGCTCTTCCGTCATGACTGAATACGAGGCGAAGCGTTGAATACAGAATGGAGCCTCCATATACAGCTTTTTGAAAGTTGAGGGAGAAGCAGCATGGCGTAACGTTTGACGATGTTGCATAATTTGACTACCTATCAATGATGCTGTTCAAAGAGAGCAACCCCTGCAAAATATTTTATTGGATTGCAATTAATCTTATTTTTATCTTATAAGACCTGAACCGAACAATAGCAGTATGTTGTTTATTGTTTTTATTGTTTTTATTCTTTTTTACAATTGCATGTATTGGTGAACCGATGATCAGTCGGAGCTGGTGGCGGACCGAAGGGAGAGGGGCGGGGGGGGGGGGGCTGACAGTGAGTGCGAAGTGTTTGAAAGTAGCGCGAATGGGCCATAGTATCTCTGATTTTGTTGTAGGTAATTGAGTTTTTTATTTTTGAAGAGGCAAAATTTACTTTGGAAAAAAATTTTCACAGGTGTGGCTACCGCTAGTTGTAGGCCTAAACCTTCGAAAAGCAAAATAAAATTCCCAAATTTTTTCGGTGGTGGTTATTTTGGCCCCACTCTGAAAAGACTTCTAGGACAGACGCTGTTCAGACTTCGGAATATTTCCAAAGAAAATGATTTCAAAGAGATTTTTGTAATTTTTATGAAGAGTAAGTGCCGTAACTAGAATTGCTTTGTTAGTATGCCGAAAGATATTTTATATCTGTTTATAGGGCAGTGAATATTTTATGAACTCTGGATGGACATAATGATGATAGTTTCACTACAACAGAAGAAACTTAAACTTTATTAAAGGAGAAAAATTTGCATGGTCAATTGACGACTATTAAATTGCATAGGTCGCTGACGTGCTTACAAATTTGTTGCAAGGGGCTGTTGTCACTTGATCTTCGACCTGCAGGGTTTTTACGGGTAAGCTGGCCGAAAACCGCATTTATCGCAAATGTGAGGCCTGGGACGATCACATCCAGGATTGGAAAATGGCGACGGAGACCTACATGCATTCACTTTCCTTGCTTTGCATTTATTTTGAGCTTTCACTTCTCGTTTTGTCTCTTCTTCATCACTGCTGGAGCACACAGCTTTTAGATCGGGAGGAATGGTAGGATAGAATATTTTCAGGCCGACGCCGCTGTAGAGTTCGACTGCTCCGAAAAGGTCGTCTGGAGTTTCAATCAAAGATCGATCACCATTCCAATCAGCCCAAGAAACGTCGTCAACGTCGAGATTGAGCTTTTTCAGCTTCTTTTGAAAAGCTTCAAAGAGATCCTTCTTGTTTCTGAAGGTAAGTGTGAACCGAGGCACTTCGAAGAAGATCTTGAAAGCGGCAGTGCGTTCCTCGACTTCATTCCCTTCCGTTTCTGCACAGAGCTTCTTCGTCTTGGCCTGTTTCTTCTTTTGTTCATCACTGCTGGAGCACACAGCTGTTTTATGGTAGTGACTAGTACGATGGAATAGTTTTACACAGCTTTCGGTGTAGGCCTCGGCTGCTGCAAGTACATCATTAGGAGTGTTTACCAAAGAACGGTCACCCTCCCAATCTGCCCATGTGACGTCATCTATGTCGAGATTGAATTCCTTCAGCTTCTTCTGGAAGGCGTTGAAGAGATCCTCCTTGTTTTTGTAGATGATTGTGAAGCGAGGAATTTCGAAATAGACCTTGATGAGAATGGTGCGTTCTTCGGACATGGCTGAATGCGGAATGATGACTGCGAAGCAGTTTTATGAGCGCAGACTCTTTAAATGTGGTGGGTGGAGCAATAATACACAATACTGGGCAATATTGCACAACTCGCATATGAAAAAGCTATGTAAGACGTGCGAATGCGCCAAGAATATCTAACGTCGAGTCGTTTGTAATATGTACATTGCACACCAAGCGTTATTTTACGATTCGTAAGATTAGAAACTGTTAATTTCTTAACGTTTCTCCTTGCTCTTCTCTCTCTTAGTTTATTGAATCTATAGTAGGTGGCAGTACACATTTCTACAGCTTGTTCCGCTATTTACTGACGAGTCACAGTAAGGTATCGTCAGTGAACGAGTATAAAGAGTGCAATCTTAGGCAATAATGCCAGAGGTCTTCATCCTTCAACTTACAAAGTTTTTTGAGAGGTTGTAGAGCGAATAGCATGTGCAGGAAGAATAAATAGTGGATGAGCGAAAATAATGACCAGGCTTATTGTAGAAAATTTCTTGGATCTTGGACGATGACGGCGAATACGAGAACAAGGAAAGCAAGATCTGCATTCGTCCGTTTGCAGAGCTTTTCTTCACGTCTCTTTGTTTATCCTCTTCGTCTTCACTGCTAGAGCAGAATGCTGGTTTATCGTAATGACTACGATACAGTTTCATGGTGGAATACGAACCTAATCTACAAGCTTCGGCTGCTGAGAATATCATCAGGAGTGGCACCGAAGAGTGTCTATCCCGGGTGCGGGTCAGATATCACGATTTTCCGCGAAGCGACGTCGCAACGCGACGTCAAGCAGTACAGCCCTCAGCTCCCGTCAGTACTTCTGCCGCAATGTTACTTATGGCATCGAGTGATATCTGCCGCCAACCCTCCCCCCTCCCCACCCCCTACTGCGGCGCCGTGCCACTTCAGCACCGGGGAGATTTTATGAGGAACATAATCTGGGCGCGGCGGGCGGCAGCCGCGCGCGGTGTGGCTCCTGAGCCGGAGCAGTCTATCCCAACCGTCCCACGTGATATCTTCGATGTCGAGTTACCTACTGCAGTTTAATTAGATTTTTTCAAAAATATCTGGATTAAGAAACCGACGCCCCATAACAAATATTTGCTGCTAATATTTTATGAGTCAAAAATTTCCCATGATTAAGGCAACCCAAGCTTTGCTCATTTCTATAAGCTTGAGATTAGGACATCTAGCCTACAGTTTTTGCAGAGAAACTCAGCTATACGGTGCAAGAAGAGTCCCAAATTTTCATAACTTGGGACCAAGCCTAACCACAGGCTCGAAAAAGTGGACAATCTTGGGTTTACATCTTTTCTTTACGTAGAATTTGTTCGTTGAAGTGATTCCTATACACACATATACTAAGGACTGCGGCTACGAAATGAGCTGAATATCAGCTATAGGAACAAAACTCGGAAGGAGTTATAAGATTTCAAAACGAGTTTTTCAAAAGAGAGACTTTCGGTGATTGACGCAGTTTCCCTTTGCAATATCAATACGTATGCAATAGTATGAGCAGGAGTGCGCAGAGTTAAGGAAAGGCTTACTGCTTCTAATGTTCTTGACTATATTCAAAAATATGAGGATTGGACAAAGTTATAGCTTTTTAAAGTGAAACTTGTCAAAACGGACTTATTTTTGCACCAACCTAATAAAATGAATGTGAATTCTTTATAAAACTACGACGCTGTTTGAGACAGAAAAAAGCAGAGCCTTTATTATACATTGTTAAGGAAAATCACAGACAGTCATCTATGGATTGCTCAGTCCCTAGTTAGGCGTTCACATCTACAATGGCGACGTTTCTTGCATTTGATGTTCTTTGACCGACAAAGTTTTTCCGGACGAAAAGATGACATGTGCCTATAGGGCTGTTCGGCAGCGTCAAATGGCACACAGGGGAAGCATGGATCCACTAGTGGGCTGGTTGTATAAAAAGATTGTGGAGTTGGGTATTCATAAGAGCCATCGCAGGAAAAAGACCGTGCACGCCGACAATCGCAAGAATGAGGGCGAGATCTGCATTGCTTCGTTGCCGTTCCTTCATTCTTTCCGTTCTCTTTCCTTTCTTCCTCTTCCTCTTCACTGCTGGAGAAGGCTGCTGATACCTGGTCGTAATTGATACGATATAATAACTTTACAAAAGAATAAGTGCCTGCGCTGTAGTCATCGACTGCATCAAAAAGATCATCAGGAGTGTTCACCAAAGAGCGGTCACCGTCCCAATCCGCGCATGTGATGTTGTCGATGTCAAGATTGAGTTCCTTCATTTTCTTCTGAAAAGCCTCGAAGAGATCCCTTTTGTTTTTGTAAGCGATCCTAAATCGGGGTACAGCGAAGTAGATCTTGAACGAAGCGGTGTGTTCTTCGGTCATGGTTGACGTAGATGCAAGAAGGAGCGAGCCTTTATATGAAATTGTTGTGAGGGCGGAGCAATATGGCAAAATGTTGAACAATGTTGCACAACTCCCACAAAAAAACCACGTAGGAAGCCACCACCAATAGTCGAGATATTGATTCAACAGATAGAATTGTTGATAATCTTCTCAATACATGAACCCTCTTGAAGAACTGATAGTGCGTTGAATCAATTTGATAATAATTTGTCTCCTCTACAGCTTTGCTTCAGACTAATTATTTGAAGATCAGTGAATATGGACACAGACAATCTGATCAATCAATCTAAAGTTATCACTTCTCTAACTTGGCAATTTTTGCAAGAGAAAGAATTCAGTGAAACTCAAAGCTAAACAACAAACAAACAAATGGAATGGTCTGACATAGTTGCAATTTCATCCTTTTTTTGAATTATTTTTCTACAGCTTTTCCAGGTGTCAAACAACTTTATGTAAACTTCTGTTAACATTTTCTAGACCTAATTGGACTTTTTTCATTAAGTGTGAGTCATATGCACGTCTCGGCGGTGCTCCATTGGCCCTGCAAAAAATGCCAACGTGCTTTTGCTCTCTTCACCCTCTCTTCCGCTAAACGCACATAAGACTATCAATTTCACAACATTACTCGTTGAAAAGAAATCGGTTGGCTTTTTTTTCAATTTTTGCATTGCCATCATAAAGTCTACGGCGAAGTAGAAAAGTGTCCATATTCACCTCGCTAATTACACGTGACCAAGTTGATATTAGCCTCAGAGTGGATCTTCAGCAGAAATTAAAAGGAATGTCATTTTTGTTGTAATTCCCAAGACTATCTCGGACTGCGAAGGACCAAAACAAACAAGCTGCACTCTCTGAGATCGAAAAATGCTATAAATAATACAGTCCAAACGAAATTATGGTGCATATCATGCAAAAGAGATTTGGACCGGGTCAGTGGTGGGCAAATGAGGAGGACTACAGTGCCACTGAAGCAGTCCTACTTACTGTCGTTTATTACAATTATGAGACTCGTTGGATACGAAAGCTATAATAAAAGTTTAAAATCATATGCTGTTCGATAAAGTGATGTTTGAACGACGCCAACATTCCGCGAATCAACTAAAAGGAAACGTCATTATTTGAATTGCTTGTGTTACCGCTTCATTATCAATGTTTGAAAGCAAAAAGCATACAAATGAGAGCTACAGTTTCTACTAATGGTAAGGGAAATATGCTACAATGAGACTATAGAATCAAAAGTTCGAAACTGCAAAAAGAGAAAGGAGGAGAACGAAGGGTTATTTCACGGCAGTTTTCTCCACTTTGTTAACAATTTCATACTAGATCTGACGTATACGAAACTGCTTTTGAAAAAGACTATTTGTGCACGAAAATGTGTGGAGGTACTCAGCAATAATCTTTTCCTCGCCGTTCCAATGTGTTTCATTTCTTTGATATACCTGAAAAATCAGACGGAAGTGACCTGTTTTTGCATTATTGTGCAATTTTTTCCAACGAGATGCTATATTCAATCCACGAGCAAGCTGCTGTCAAAAGCGTGGACGAGCTATTTGGGAGATGATAACTAATCTAGAAGGTGCAGTTAATATGAAACTATGGTTTTCATCAATTGAGTCGGAAGCAGAACGCAGGGGAAGCAAGGCAAGGAGAATCACGAGGTAAACGAATTCCATCTCTTCAAAGGTAAAATCACACTTCCACATTCCCGCACTATCATTTTGTCCATTTTTTGTTTTTCCGCAGTTTAGTTTATACATTTAGCGAGATTTGAGCTCACAGTTGTCGCCTAGTTCCAGCCATCAGTGAAGCATACACATTCTTCAGTAAATCGCAAGATAAGTTAAATTGTTATATTTCTCCGCATTTCGTGGCATCTGACCTGTTTACAATTTATTTGTTTTCTTATTACAACACAGTGTAACAACGAAGCGTCTAATACAATTTTGACGTGAGTGACCTTTTTATTATTTGTCTATTGGCAGTGCTTAATTTATTATGATTTATCTCGCTGATTCATCTCTGGTCGCCCTATTGTCCGCGGAAAAGCAAGTCGCTAATCTAGTAAATGCTTAACCATCTTGAATTCAATTCTTGCGAATTTCCATTCAGAGAAATACATATTTTCTTTGCAATTGCTATCAAATAATAGCCTATTACACAATGTGATTTTTGGGGCTAATATTGATTTACTGCGTCAGTGGTGCCGAAATTATAGATCTATTATTTCCAGCATTGCAAAAATTTATAATAACAACCCATATAATAAAAATTACTCTATGTTGTAACAATCACGCAAAAGAAGATATTTTATTGACACACTCGAGTAGTAGCACAGCTTGCATAAAACAAACAATTTTTTACAATTCGCTCATATCCTTACACAAACGCTCACAACTGCATTGGCGACGCCGCTGTCGTTTAGAGTTCCTTGATTTACAGGGCTTCTCGGGAAGGAAGGGTGTCATAAAATTGTAGGACTGTTCAGCAAAAGCTGGCGAAAAGTTACCTTTGTGAATGTATGGCAGCATATAAGGACAACGTGAATTCATTGATAACGCTGGATTGAAGGAATAATAAGGAGTTGGAACCGGGTAGCCGTAAGAAAAGCCTGAATCTGCATGTGGATTGATGGGACGAAAAGGTAGTGTTTGCAGATAATCATAGGGTCCATCGCAAGAGAAAGACCTAGAACGATGACGACGACGACGATCGCAAGATGGAGACCGCGATCTACATTCCTTCACTTCCACTTCTTCACACTTCTCCTCTTCATTCTTCTCTTCTTCTTCCTCCTCTTCTTCATCACTACTGGAGCAGACTGTTGTTACCTGATGATGTGGAGTAGGATAGAATATTTTCACGGGGCTGCCGTTGTAGTGACCGACTGCTCCAACTAGGTCCTCAGGAGATTTGAGCACAAAACGGTCACCGTCCCAATCAGCCCACATAATGCCATCAGCGTTCAAGTTGAGCTGCTTTAGCTTCTTCTGAAAGGTCTTGAAAAGATCTTTCTTGTTTTTGTAAGTGATGGTGAAGCGGGGAACTTCGAAGAAGATTTTGAAGGTGGCAGTGTGTTCTTCCTCAGCCATAGTTGAATATGAGGTGATGCGAGGATGGCACTCAGACCTTTATATGTGATGTAGCCCCCCCCCCCTCCCCGAATGTTGCTGTGGGCGGAGCAACGTGACACAACATTAGACAATGTTGCACAATCAGCAGATAGAAGAGCCTTGCGAAAAGCAGCAAATGTCTTTACCTAAGCTTATCAAATCACTCATTAAAGACAATAACTTTCATCCTTACCAAGCCAAATTACTGATTTCCCCTACTGGGCAATATCTGATAATGCACGAAGAGGTTAAGACCAGCTCAACGCAAAGCGACGGCAACATAAAACTTCATAGAACTTCAAAACTTCGTGGGTTTCGCAAAATTTTCGCTCCTTCCCATAGTTGTAATTTTTTTAGCACAACAACATCCGCTGTTCGGATAATCACTTCGAAACCTCAGTAGAATCGAAACTTATCTCTACTGCTTTGCTTTTTTGCAAACGCTGAATCAAACATGCAGTGCTGCGCTGCTATTTATGTGATTGTGCAAGATTTTCCAATATTTTGCTTTCGCTCCCTCCGCCCCTCCCTCGCTTTCAGAAAACAAGGGCAAATCAGCAGTGCAAATGGCTCGCACCAGTCAACGTGCTCGTGTTCGCTCAGCGTGGAAAACTTTCCATATTCGCCTTGCCGACTATACTGTGCCCAAGTTCACTATTCACTACAGAAACATTGACGAACTCAGAGAGGCTCTCCAGCAAGAATTGCAAGGATTGAAACTCGCATTTGCTGTGCTGCGCCAGACCATTCTGGTTTACGAACTTAAAGCAGTCAAAAACATAGACGAATTGATTGCTGAGTTGGAAACTAGTCCTTTTTCAGAGCAGGAGGTGAAACTGTGGTGTACGCCATCCAACTGCCATGCTGCAGCACGCCACCGTGGCTAACATGCCGGAATTGCTGGCAGATGCTGAATTTCCATTTTACTGCATTCCTACTCAGAACTGTATCCTATTACTGCAACTGTATCCTCAAGTCTTCGCAAAGTGATATGAGAGGCCACAGACCATGCGCGGCAATTGACGACACCCTTACTACATAGTGACTGCTCAGTAAAAATTTTTCCAGCGTATAAGAACTAAAAATGTGTTACCAACTAATACATATCAAAAGTGAAAAGGAAACAAGGAGAAATTACGAGAACTGAACATGAACAGGAATTATCTTATATGTCGTCAAGTATCGCGCATGGTGTGCAATACGCATATTAAGTTGCAAGACACATGATATATGCTCGTGAAATTATAAGGTAGACACATCTTCACATCAACTTACCTCCATCTGCTATAAAAGTAGCGGAGGTAAAGTATCTTCTACAACCTTGTTACAAATTTGTGATCCATAAAATAGCGGAATAAAACATTTTAGTCTTTGCATGCCTTCCACCTGTGACATCTGGGCCGGTAGTAATCCCCCCGACCTGGCGGCAGGTCTCGTCGGCAGATCGCTGGCACCTTTCCGTGAGGTGGCCAGAAACTAAAACCCCAAATTTAGGCCGTCCCAGGCCTTTCTCCAAAGAATTTCTCGACGAAGATGCCACCTCGACCCTATAGAAACCTCCATCGAAATTTGCGGTTTCAGAAATCTTCTTGTAGAAAATATCTGGAAGCGCAGGAGAAGCTGCCGGCAACTTCGCGAGGTCAGTTGCCGGCAACCTGCCGGCAGCTCGTCGAAATCCGCGAGATGGCAGCTGCCAACAGGTCAGAGAGCACGAGAAATAACGTGCTCTTTTGAGAGAGGAAAGCTGCCAGCATCTCGACGTGTCCCTACCACGTCGAGGTGCTGGCACCTTTGCCGACGGCGTCTGCGAGTTTGCAAATCGCGGCGACATCACACAATTTACGTAAGGCGAAAAAATCAAAAATTCTACTTTTCATCAAAAAACTATCATTTTTCTAATTATATGAGTTTTTCTTTGTTAAAACGACTTTTTCAGAGAAAAAATCCAGTAATGCCTTAGAATCATAAAGAATACCATCTTTTTTGGCAATCCCTTATGAATCTCGTTTGCACCGATTTCGCCCCTCTCTCGCTCATATCAATCAGCTGTTCTTTCAGGTCAAAGTCTCTCACGCAATGTATCGATCCCTCTTACAGGCAGCCATTTACCAGCGCGTTCCTCCTATTGCTGCAAACGACAATGGCTGACCGAATGGTCGAATGGTTAACGTGGTGGCACCTCAAGTTAACGCACATAGGTTCGCGCGAGGCAGCAATTTTGCGGCTGTCTGCGTCATTAAAATTTAATGTGAGAAATGATTGCGTGCAGATTACATAAGATTATTGAAACCTACAATCACTCCGCGAGCTGCCGCCGAAGATGGCAACTTCCCCGCGACGTCTGCCTACTTGCCGGCATCTTTGATGCCACCAGGTAGGGTAGATTACTACCGGCCCTGGCCAACTACTAAACTTACTTCTCAGCTAAGGAGTATCTAAAATTAATAATTCTTCAAAGATAATTGTGTAGTTTATATATAGTTCTATTTTCGTTGAAAACTGTGGATAAATTATACGCATACTCAAATGGTAGTTGATGTTTGCCAAAACTCATGATCCAATTACGACAGCACTTACGTAATGAGTCAAAAAGTTCATAAAAGTTTGTCAGGATAAAGGTTAGCTACTCCTTTACCCGATGTGCAGCGGGTTTACATAAGTGTCACTCTAATATTCATTATACACAGTTATATAGAGGATAAGAGTGTTAGGATAATAGCTGCTCCTTTAACTGATGTGTAGCGGGTTTACATAAATCTCACAACAGATACTATACAAGATACAGGGTGTCCCAAAAAGATGTGCCTACTGTTTGATTGTTAATAACTCTCTTGTAATGAAGTCTTTAGAGAAGCTTCTGCTACCATTTTGTAGAGCTGGCTTCAACTTAGATTTGCAATCAGAGGTGCGATAGGGGGAGCCAAGTCTCCCCCTACCTTCACTTTTGAGCTGGTACGGGGTGACCACCTTCACTTTTGGAATAAAAAATTTTTCGCTGGACGACAAAGAAGGAAAATAAGCAAAACAAACGCAAAAAAGATTATTGAAAGCATATATTTATGTATACGGCGGCATATATATTTAAAATAAAGGTTTTTAGTAAATGGTGTATTTGGAAGTAAAGCTTAGCAAAACTGTACGGATTTTATTAAGCAAATTATGTTATAACGTATAGCGAAGGAAGTAGGTCGATCCAGGCAGTAACCGCGGAGAACCAGAATTTTGAATATTTAAATAGTGAAAAATCATGCGAAATTTCCACTGTTATAAATCTGTTGTTTGAAGATGTCAGCAGTTGCGACTTCATAGGTTTTGAAGAGTAGATGTTGCTCTATCAGCTGGTGAAGGAATCGGGTCGATTTAAGAGATAGTCGTTGAAAACCAGAGTTCTAAAACTTTACGCCATTTTTGCGTGTTTTTTGACTGTTGAGAGTTAAACTCTTATAAATCTTGAATGTGGAAGTGTATGATGTTGCGACTTCATAGGTTTTATAGAGTAAGGTTTGCCTTATCAGAATATGTCTTGTCCGTTCCGATCCATTGAAACACTCCCGACATCCAGAGTCATGAAAAAGCAGGTAAAAAAGAGCTTTTTGAACTTCAACAGCTCATAACTTCTTCAGGATTGCACGAATCATGTTGCGACTTCATAGGTTAGATTCTTCTCGTCAAGAGCTTTCAGAAGATATATAATATGTGGGGGTTTAGAGCCTCCTGCGAATTATGACCGGGGGGGGGGAGACTTTTTAGGCCAAAGTCTCCCCCTCGCCCATTTTAATGTATTGGCTGGAGGCTGCCGGGGGAGACTTTGGCCTAAAAAGTCTCCCCCCCCCCCCGGGCATATGCCGTAAGAGGCGCGAAACCCCCACATATTATATATCATCTGAAAGCTCTTGACGAGAAGAATCTAACCTATGAAGTCGCAACATGATTCGTGCAATCCTGAAGAAGTTATGAACTGTTGAAGTTCAAAAAGCTGTTTTTTACCTGCTTTTTCATGACTCTGGATGTCGGGAGTGTTTCAATGGATCGGAACGGACAAGACATATTCTGATAAGGCAAACCTTACTCTATAAAACCTATGAAGTCGCAACATCATACACTTCCACATTCAAGATTTATAAGAGTTTAACTCTCAACAGTCAAAAAACACGCAAAAATGGCGTAAAGTTTTAGAACTCTGGTTTTCAACGACTATCTCTTAAATCGACCAGATTCCTTCACTAGCTGATAGAGCAACATTTACTCTTTAAAACCTATGAAGTCGCAACTGCTGACATCTTCAAACAACAGATTTATAACAGTGGAAATTTTGCATGATTTTTCACTATTTATTTATTCGAAATTCTGATTCTCGGCCGTTACTGCCTTGATCGATCTACTTTCTTCGCTGTACGTTATAACAAAATTTGCTTAATAAAATCCGTACAGTCCAACAAACTTCTACTTCCAAATACACCATTTACTAAACACGTCTATTTTAAATTTTTATAAATAAAATTTATAGATATTTTTAATATTCATCGTATCTGTGGCCCTAAAGAGGGCCGTTGGGTCGACGTTAGACCTAGAAAGATAGCTCCGTTCGTCCGTTCTATCCTCCCCCCGCACCTCCCCCCCCCCCCCCCCCCGTCGACGTTTTTGGGAGGTGAGTGTCCGACACTACCACCTTCACTTTTGGCCGGCCAGTGGTAGCTGAAACCACCTTCACTTTTGGGGGACCCGGCTCCCCCTATCGCACCTCTGTTTGCAATATAGAGTGAATCACCGATCGCTCTTCATTACTGTGAAATTACGGTAGAAACTTCAAGCGTATGGTATCAGTGTAAAAAAAGCTGCTGTCTCAAAAATTTCCAAAAATTGTGAAAACTAGTGTAATAGGTTTTTCAAGGGCGCTGAGTTCAATGCTCAACTATATACAAGATTACAAAACTTTCTAAACAGTGTAACCGCACTTTTTAGGAACGTTGGAAAAACGG